AGTGTTTGATACCCTCAGGTAACTGAGAAACACAAATTATAGTCCTGCGCAAGTTCGGGTCAAATTAATTTTTGTACAAGAGCCAAAGAGTCATAAAATAGATTGTCTTCTTACATCCCTACTGAAGAAATAACAAGAGTGGATGCCTGAGGTATGCGCGTGATTATGTTCTTTCCTCTTAGGCCATGGAAATCTGCAGAAATCCGTAGTTTAAAAATATTTGTATGACAGGGACGTTGAATAGACAAATGCAGAATTTAAAATAACCTCCACATGGTTATAGTCTCTGCCTGGTGTACAGAAACCGTTACAATCAAACAGAATATATGCACCTTAAAGCATAGCTGAACCAATAGGGAAGAAGAGTCCAGTTCAGTTAGAGTGTATTACCCAAGAATGTTAGTAATAGTTTGGAACAATTTATAACATGTGAAATATATCCCAAACACTTTAGGTAAGTGTTTCAGTCTCCTGAAATCCACTGAAGGACAGCACGAGTATCAGTTTTATAGAGAGGCATTACCTTATTCCCTCTGAAAATCTTCCCATATCTGGCAATAACGATCTTTCCTGTACAGTTAATTTCCATTTCACGTTCTAGCTTAAAGAAGTCTTCAGTGCGGCCATAATTCACATACACTAATTCACCCTGATAGAAAGAGGTAGAATTTGAAAGAAGAATGTCAATGAGCATGTGAAAAAGGAAGATGAGATCTAGTAAGAGAACAAGCTGGGAAAAATAAGCTCTGGGACTGAGTCCACTACAAATTCTTCTATGATCATGACACAATTAGGCAATTGACTTCTAAAGAATTTAGATTCCTACTATCCAAAACTTCCAGTCTTTGTCCAAAATGAAGAATGTTAAGAAACGATTTCTGAATCAAAAACTTAGAGTAAGTGCTCAGAGTACAGCATTTACTTATCTTTGCATTCTGCTTAAGTTGTACTTAGTCTTGGACAGCTGAAGTTATTTCAGGCCCAGACACAACAATAAATATCAATTGTATTTTATGCAGTAGACTGGATGATGCCAGTATGCTATGAAATTCTCAGGGTTCGACTCCTATCCAATACAGAAGCTACAGGATGTTAATAGTCAAAATAAATACACCTTGCACATGGATAACATAATCTTCATGATTTTGTTTAAACCATGTTTTCCAATATTCGGTGCGTGATTCATCTTTTTAATGTCAGCCACCTAAAACTCATGTACATTGTCTAAGAAAGTCCTGCAGGGCACTCCATAGCCAGTGAAGAGCTGGGAACCTTCCTGAGAATTCACCCTTTCCAGGAGAATTCACCCCTTCCAGGAGAATTCACCCCAAACCTGCTTGAGAAACCTATTTTAAGTAGGAATAAATTGCCCCCCTTACACACATATCATTATTATACCCCAAAGACTGCCTATAAAAAGCCTCCTAGACCAGTTTGGGGAAGATGACTGCAATTTCAGACGACTAAAACTAAGTGCCAGGAAACTCGTGCTTAGTGCATTTCTCCGTATTACCAGACACCTTCAGAGAAACCTTCAATCTATTTTCAAAAAGGTATAAGCTTGCATCTCTTATACTGATACAACCTGCTGACTAGACATGCAGGTGGTCTCACATAACGGTGAGCAGCATATCCTGACACGTCAGTGGTACCGTCATTTTGACTGTACTGGTTTCATCAGTAATCTGCTCAAGCTGTATTTAATTCTTAAACTAAGTAAAATTAACTCAGTTAGGATAAATTAATGAAATAAAGGAGGCTGTATTTAAATAAGGCAAACAGTTTCACATTTAGTAAGATTCTGATCCTCTCCCTTCAGAGAATAATTCAGGAACAAAAAGTTTATTCTTGGGGAGGCTTTTCAGAATTTACAGAGTAGCTTTCCCTCTCAGTAAAATCAAGCATAAACTACTGAAGTTAAGACAGTTCTTCCAGTCTATCGAGATTAAGAAAAAGGGGAATTTGGGCCTCCATTTTAAAATAATTTCTTTATAATATCTTGTACAGAACACCTACGCTTGTAGGCTGTTGTATTTTTTTTATGACAAATACAAAAATGTTGATTTCAGTAGTTTGGCTTACATAATTGCAGAGCTGTGAGCTTCACATTCAGGGCTCTTGCTCTACAATGGAGTGGAAAACCAAGTTGAGAGTAACACTTTATGGTGAAAAACTGCTCACACCTCACAGGGTTTTTTTACACAATGTCTTTGCTTAAGTAGATCTATCGCATAAAGAAAAGAACAGTTCTGATCTTTAGAAAAAGGTCGTGTAACAGTATCTGATATAAAGTATATAATCCATACTCATAGCATTTTTCCTGGTGCTGCAGAATAATTCTCATTTATCTAGTCTTTAGATTTCTGAAACTACAGTAAAAGATGCTTACTTGAAGATTCTAGCAATATTTGATATATTGCACAGTAAATCAGTTTTCCTTAATTAAATTCTTTTACCGCCTCTAAAAATTCTTCATCTTTAATTTTCATTAACAGAACTAAAAACTACATTGACGTGATAAATTTCTCATTAGAGCACTGTGACAGTTTTGTACATCATAATTTCCTAGTGATGTGATGATATTCCTCACGTTTATAGAACTACTACAAAATACAAGCTTTGAGGATGTCCTCATAAAATGTCTCGCCTGCGATCTCTTACTGTAGGTAGAGATCTCAAGCATACTTTTTACTTGTAATCATTAGTAACTAGACAGGAGTACTTCTAGAGTCACTTAAAAAGGAAATGAAAAGCAGAATTTTACCATTTTTATTATGCTAACCTTCCACACTACTATTATTGCCTGACACAACACGACTTTGCTACTTTGTCTGCTTTCTGCTAAATATTTCTATTAAAAGAAGCTTCTGCTCAAAACCTGTTTTCATCCTACCGTTTAGTGAGATTTAGTTAAAATACACCACACAGAAAAAGCATTTTCTGACAATCTGTATGGTGGACTAGGATATATCCCATTTCCATCTACTAAGAACATGGAATGGGTGGGAACCACTTCTAAATCTCTAGCAGGCAAGTAACTACTATCCCACCCTGAGAGTATTTAGCCTTCAAAACACAGTCACTGCCACTTGTTTTAAAAAGGAGCTGCAGAGAAAACTGATAGTGCTGGTAGCCCTGAACTGTACTTTCACAGCTCCCTGACTCAGCCAGAAAATGTGTGAGCTGCATTCTCGGCCTCTCTCAGTATGAAGAACTTGGATCATTTCTCCCACTCTCCAGGAAGGTGGTTTACTTGTGAGACAACAGTTAGCCTGGGATGTAGGTACTTTACAGCCTTCTCCCTTCATGAACTTGGAGCTTTATGCAGGAATTGTTCACAAAATTAATGAGCAGAAAGAGGACTTACGCCTGACGATTGCACTTGGCAAGTTCCAAATATCTCTCTCTGTTGCTTAGTTCTGTTATTTAATAGAACGGGGCTTTTTAACATAAAATACATAAACAGGCCTGGGAGAACTCAGAAGAGCCCTGGACCCACCAAGCATTCCCACCACTAGCTAGGTACCTGGAGCTTTTGTCAAAGTATTATGTAATAAAGAGAACATAAGCCTCGTATTTTGAACGGACAATCTATCTTTTAGGTATTGTTTTCTTCAGAAATAAAGTTCTTATACCTAGTTAAAATAAAAACACTTTCTAAAGAAGGAAGCAGCAGCTTCTTAAATTTATTATTTGCCATAACTCATCGCTTACTATAACTCTCCACAAACCAAATAAAGCATTGAGGTTATTCTCACTTTCTTTGGGGCTATCGTTTTACAATAAAAAGTCAGAACACACAAATTTTACCCTACATTATGTTCCAAAACTCCCCACTGCAATTCTTGAAACCCTCAAAGCTCTCATATCCTAGGGTACAGACTATCTGCCTGGTTCTCCTTCGAGTATCTGAGGCAAATGAATACAGGACGCCTTTTGTTTTTTTGGATTTGTACAGCTTGTTAATAAACTTCAGAAAACACATGACTAATACCAGACCGTGTGAGTAAAAGCAGGTTTCAAAGCCAGATCCAACTTCAAAGCAGAGATTGGACCAGATGACCTCTGAAGGGCCCTGAAAACCTGCATTTATTCTGTGTATGGACAGGAAAGATACCAAGAATCATAGAATCATAGAATGGCCTAGGCTGGAAGGGACCTTAGAGATCATCTAGTCCAACCTCCCTGTTATGGGCAGGGACGCCACCTCTTGACTAGACCTGGCAACACATGGGGACCGAGCGGGAATCAAACCCGCGACCTCGGTGTTGGTCATTGTTGTCAGCACTGCGCTCAAACCACTGAGCTAAGAACAACAACAACAAAAGAGTTTAATCTTACAAAATATTAATTGAACTATTAATGACCACAGGACAGAAAATTCCTGGTACACGGGCTAGCTTTACAAGCTATAGCCCGTCACCTGGTACCATCTATACAAGAAGACAGAAAGGATTACTGTGAAGCTCTGATCACAGCAACACTTTTACCACCAGCTAGAAATGCTAGCAAAAGCTATTTTCAAATATACTGTACACTGTGCAGTTATACCTGTCAGTGTGAGGCTTGGGCAAGCAGCATTTTTGAAAACCAGGTTGTTCATTTGGCTAGGTAAATATAACAGACAGGAAATAATGGCGCACAGTGACATATCTGGAGAAGCCTGCAGCAGCTCACAACATTACAGATTTATTCCCATATTTTTTAAGGAAAAGGTAAAAATTAAATCAGTTCTGACTCAAACTAGAGGAAAAAAAATAAACATATACGTATGACTGCTCAATTTGATCATTGCTCCATCACAAAACTCTCAAGAACATTAGAGCTACAACATCTTTCCTACTGGTGGTATTTCAGGTTTTGAACTAAAGCCTAACATGCAGGAATTTTCACATTATTCTGCATTGCTCTATGCTATTCTGTGCTATGCTGTGCTACACTACATTGGTATTCTGTCTTTTCCATTTCTATTATTTCTATTTTTGTCTCTTTCTGCTTCTACTTCTATTTCTGTTTCTACTTCTACTACTTCTACCATTCTACTGTGTTACCTCAGGCATTCCTTGGGCTGAAAATGCACTGTAGGGTGGCACCACATCTCTGACAGCCTCATATCCTGGAGGAGGAGGCTCAGATAATGATGTGTTGAAAATCTAGTAGAAAAGAAGAAAAGATAAAAAGCAGGCAATATGGAAAAGCAGTACTGTCTATTTAGGCACATTTCACATGCACTTGTAGTTTAAAGGACTCTAGTTTTAGAACTCTAACTGAGGAAGGGACAAAACTGTAGCAAGCACTGGACATGCTTTACAGTATGCAGGTTCAATGTGTGATCACGCAAATCGCGTCTCCACTCTTCACCCAAAATCATGCTTAAATGAACACAGAGTCCCTTAAGGTGGTCTCAGCATAGCAGATAAGAGCAGGTCAGATCATAATGGTAAAAACCACTTGCTTTCTGTTCATCCTCGGAGCTTCTACAAGCACTAGAGCTGCTCTGTAATGAACTGATGTTAAATGTGATTTCACATCTTAGGATCTAAGCTCTAATCTTCAAGAAACTGAATTTAGGACAATCACTAATACTGTATAATGAATCAGTGCAAATAATGATGCTGAACACAGTTGTTTTCCTCTTTCTAAATAACAGAATAATTCCAAAACAATTAAACTAAACTCTCTGAAATAATTTTCCTTTAATCCATGTATTTCAGTATGCTATATGAATCAGGGTAATTATTAGCATTCTTAGCACACACATTACAAAACAGAGATACAAAATACAAAAGCAAACTGGAACCCCTGCTTTCTGTGTGCTCTGGATCAGACCAAACGCCATTAAGAGAACAGAGGATAGTTTTCCTTCCTAGATGTGTGAAGGTGATTTTGTTCCTTGGTTGCAAAAACTGTTTTTTTCCGTACCTCATTTCCATGCTCATCAATTATTGAGATGTAGTTGGGGTTGGTGTCATCAGGGTAAGAGAGCAACACATCATAGTGAACCAACTGAACGGAATCCAAACCAAACTCCTTCCACTCTGCTTGGACCTGCTGTGCCAGGTGAAGATTCTCCTTTGTTCCTGCTAGGTGAGGAAGCTGTGTAAAATTGCTAGAGAAAAAGAAGCAATGAGTCAGGATGAGGCACCGCAGCTCATAATCAGAACTCCTCTTAGTGTAGCTAGAAATAACCCCCACAGAGATGACCAGATGCACCCAGGCCAAATAAGGACCCAGACTCCTCTTTATCTTCTCTTATACATAAGATAAAGGGTTTCAGTCCTGAGCCATCACAGCTGTATCTTCCTCACAGTGTGGCTTAGCGTGAATGGCAGGATGACATCAGGATTTTGTCCTTCTCTACTCCTTGTCTTCTGGGTGACCTTAGGCCAATCACTCTGATGTGCAGTGAGACTGACCTTCCTTGTGATAAAAGAATTGAGTATAATTACCTTTTTGTATTCAATTTAGAAATGTGCACAGTTACTCTGATCTCTTCTTATAATTAGCTGTATATGCTCCTTGGATCCCACCGTTTGAATCATTTTGGCACAAATACTTAGTTACCTAAAAGTTCACTCTGAGTGTGTCTGTTGACAAATGAGAGAGAATTGACAGTGGCTTAGAAACAAGAAACAGAAAAACTCAACAGCTTCTGACTTAAAAGTTATGCAGCATGAGTAACAAGCAGTGAAAGATACCATAAATAGCGAGTAACTCATTGTCTGGAAAACAAAATAAATGTCCAGACCACTTAGAAAGACCAGCGGTGAAGTGAGCTGAAGAAACTCCTCACTGAACGAGGTTGTCATCATGACGTCCTCAACCTGTCATATGGGCCACAGGAGCATGTGTGGCATCAGCTGGTGTTAATGAAGGAAATGGGATATTCAACAAGGAAGGGGTGTAAAATCAGGAAAGATTTATTTCTTGAGTTTGAGTGAGAACAAAGCCATCACACAAAGCACTCTGAAAGAACTGTGCACTTGAATAGAAATTGGAATGGAATAGAAATAGAAATAGAAATAGAAATAGAAATAGAAATAGAATAGAATAGAATAGAATAGAATAGAATAGAATAGAATAGAATAGAATAGAATAGAATAGGGCTGATCACATTAAAGCATGTTATTAAGGGCACTGTCTAACTGCCTCTTAAACACTGACAGGCTTGGGGCATCTACCACCTCTAAGAAGACTGTTCTAGTGTTCGACCGCTCTCCTGGTAAAGAAACGTTTCCTAACGTCTAGGCTAAAACTCCCCTGGCACAGCTCTGAACCATTCCCACACGACCTGTCACTGGATGCTAGGGAGGAGAGCTCAGCACCTCCTTCTCCACCTCCTCTCCTCAGGGAGCCGTAGAGGTCAACGAGATCACTCCTCAGCCTCCTTTTCTCCAAACTAGACAAACACAGAGTCCTCAGCAGCTGAATGCTCCTATATAAAACCAGGTACCTCTGATCATGTCACCATCTAGTGCCAATGCTGTACGAAAACTCCCCGTTACAGCTACAGTACCATTTTTCAGACAACATACTGAAGCAAGAGCACAGTTATGCGTTAGAGCCAACAGCTGTTTTCTGTAAGGGTTAGGAATGTTTAAGTCTCATGTCTTCATTAAAATTTTACTTATGCAACAACATTCTCCTGTATTATATTCTCATTTAACTGAATACTGTGTTTTAATTCATTTCCTCTTCTAATCTGTTGACCTGTACTGGCAGTTGTAAGCAGTGACTAAAAACCTGCTGCATTTCCCCACAGAACTGGCTGCAGGCTGTTAATGAGGTAAAAAGTTTCCTGTTGGCACAGCCACAGGGAGTTTGGAGGGCAGAAAGCAGTCCTTTTACAGAGCTGTTTAACAACAGTTGACTTTGTATGAGCCAAAACACAGGTTATGACTATAAAAAATCATAAGTCTTCAGTTTTCAGTGTCTATACAGTCAGGACATGAGTGCTACGTGGTAGAGAGAATGTGTTTTCCAGTGAATTTATCTGCACTAGTTTGTTGCAAGTGCACTTAAAATTAAACCAATGGGATTGCCACAATCCGATAAACTGAGAATGGTTTTTTAGTAATTTAGTTTTGTAGCAAGACACAATGTCATGCTATTAAATCAGGCTGGGAATTTATGGCAAACCTGATTTTGCTGATTACTTCCAAAATAACTGATCCTCTAACACTTTCTTTACAGACAAAGTACATTTCTACCAATAAACTGTGACTTCTGGTCTATTACCAACTGGAAGAAATACAGCTTTTAACAAATACTACATCCTCCTAAGAGAAAAATAATTTGCTTACAAGATCTCTAAAATAAACAAATAATAGAAGATCGGCTTCCTTGTAAAACCTCTAAGTTACAGAAATTGAGAAATTAATTACAGTAATTAAACCGTAATAGATTTTTAAAATATCTATATTATCATCTTCCATTGTTTGAATTTTCAGGTACGAATGTCAGCAGCTTTGCTCCTAGGTTTTAATGAAAGAAAGAGAGTATATTTAAAAACATCTAACTTAAAGGGTGGCTGAAATGAAAAAAAAATACTAGAAAAAATCATGGTTTTAAAAAAGACTAAAGCTTTAAGACTATTAGATTTATTGTGAACAGTTTAACATAGCATCAGACAACTAGCTGGCATCTACTATGTTTGGTTTAGCTATTCACTGTGTAGACAGAGAGCAAGCTTGGAAACTGTCTTTCTTCATTAAAGTGAGTACCAGGTCAGAATGGTTACAGATCAACACATACCTTTGCCCACAGCATGACAAAGTGTGTAGGGAGAGTAGCAATACGGTATTAAGGCCTAAGCGTAGGAAGAACTAAAAGGCTTAAGACTGGTATGTTTTTCTTCTCTTTTACATTGATGTGCTCCATTTTCCATTTAATGTATCCACATTAAAGTTCATTCATAGAGCCTAATCTGAAATGAATGTTTTTTCCATAAAGACCAATGTAAGATAAACATTGTAGGCTGAAAAAGGACACATAAGAGAAAGGCTAAACCTCTACATCAATGTCCAGGCATTCACTAAATGCTGAGCAAGAGTTTGCCTAATTTTTATTTACTGTAAGTACTGAGATTACTGACAACTGCTCCACTGTTTCCAGCACCAAGAATGAGAGGAGCAGGGATGGACAGCTTCATCAGTCGCAGCTCACAGGGACACATTAGATTAATCCTACAGTTGGGAATCTGCACACCATCCCCTGTCCATTGGCAACCACTGGCAACTGGTTGCCAGTTGTCTCTTTTTTCTTTTTCGGACTGATTAGTTTACACATTGCTTACTAAAGAAACTGCTTGATGTTTTCAGCTTTCATTTCAGCCATAAACGCCTCCTTCATGTCTTCATGAAGCCTCAGAGATGTCTTCTCTTCTGTAGGTTTTGCAAACCAGCCTGTACAACACACCAAAATTCAACAGTAAAAACACCAGAGCACTATCCCCGTGATACACACCCTTTCTCCCTGCTATCACCGTAAGATTTACACTGTGCATTTTACAGTTGTTTTTATCTGAGCACGCACCAGCAGCCACAAGCTAACGCAGGCTGCACAGGGACGGCAGTGCCACTCCCCAGCACAGCAAGAGAACTTTTTCACCTAGGAAGATACGGAGAGGAATGAAATACTAGATATTTACTCATCAGGCTTATTTTACGGTACATGCCAAGGAGACTTATCTAGCTTCCTTTAGCACCAGAGCATCACGCTGTCAGTCACACCAGTCGTACCAACCACTTCAGCAGCTTTACAAAGCCCCACAGAAACACAGACACCTTTCGCAGCGAGCAGATGTCTCCTAACTCTTTTCTCACCCTCTGGTCTGTCTGTCCCTCCTTCTGGAATCCTCCCCTTACCGCGCAGGCGTTACCAGAGCAGGTGACGAGAGGCACACCTGGCTAGAAAGCGCTTCTGGCACCTGTTCCGAGTCAGAGGCCGGACACGTCCGG